ACGCGCGCTATTGTACTCACCGGTGAGTAGCGCACTTCACCACCACACCATCCGGGTCCTTCGTTTTGCCTGTCTCTCAGCTAGTTCTTTTGCTGATGGCAAAAGATCAATAGAACTAACTGAGAGACAGGCAAAACGAAGGACCCGGATGGTGTGGTGGTGAAGTGCGCTACTCACCGGTGAGTACAATAGCGCGCGTCCGTTCCCCACCGCATACACCTGCGGTCCGGAGTTTTGCAAATATCTCAACATTATATACGAGTTATATTTCGCAACATACCTTGCCATTAAAGAGGAAAAAGACAGTAAATAAAAGGGTTAAGATTGTTTTAGTTTAATTGAAATTAGAAACAAACCCTCCAGTCTATTAGGTGTAGATTTCATAGTATTATAGCATCTATTCGCGGTCAGTATGGAAAGCCACATATTTACGGCGGTGCAGAATTGCGGCTAATTGGCGACGATTACCGATTGGCGGCAGTATGGTCCTAAGAGGACATGAGGAGCATGTGATTACATGTTTACAGGTTTACTATTGTTAATTCGCTATCATCCTTTAGTTTATATGCTCTGGTCAGCTCTTATCGATTTTTTATTGCACAGGTTGTGGTATGTTTAACACACCGTGTTTTAGATCCAAGGTGATATGCTGGTCACAGGCTCTGATGACAACACTTTACGAGTGTGGAGTATCGAACAAGGAAAGGTACTGTTTTTCGTTGTTAATTGGTGTTTTATGATTTAGCTTTGATTTTTTGCAATATATTTTTGAATCAGGACTGATCAGTCATCAGTGTATATTTCAGTAGTTCATTAATATAATGGAAACGGGTGGTGAAAAAAATGCGTTAAAATCGAATAATCACCGCGAAAAAAATTCTAAGGGGAGCGTAAAGTCTTTAAAAACATTAGCCAGTGTAGCAATTCCCAAGACCAACTTTCTGTTAGCCTCGGCATTAATTGATAATTAATTTCAATTTATTTCAAACGAAATAAGTGCAGCTATAAAACGCTGCTTAATAAGGACCGGTCTAGAGAATTCCGTAAGAGTGATAGAAATACCACCGGACACTCTAAGAGGCCAGCTAGTTCGCAACCGCCTATACAACCGTCTATGTACAACAAAAAACTGCATAATTTGCCCAAATGGTAGAGACGGTGATTGCATGAGTTCGGGTACAGTCTATCTGATCTCTTGTAAAGCGTGCGGGCACGAATATGTTGGCGAAACGGGTAGACCGCTCTGCGTCCGCATAAAAGAACACCTAGTCGGTAAATCTAAATTAAAACAAAATACTCCACTAGGCGCGCATAGGATGCAGGAATACAACGGAGATTTTGAGGTAGGAGTCACTATCCTTACGCAGGAATCGAAAACATCAGCGCGTAAAACTCTTGAAGCGTTTTGGATCAATGCCAAAAATTCAAAAATGAACCGCAAGGAGGAGTGTCTTGTCATCACGCGTGACCTGGCGCCATACCTCAGGCTGATCCAATGACCTGAGATGGACACAGTTATCGACCATGTATTACTCTGTGCGGCGGCTATCCACCAACTAACTTAAATACTTACAACAAATAAACGGTAAGTGTTTGAATGAAGCTGTTTCTTATGCGAATGCAAATCGATTTGTCAAGTTTTATCTGCTAGGGTTATGAAAGTGTTTGGCTGAGTAGATCACATCTCAATTTGACCTTTCCAGGCTCTGAAGAAGGCGAAACCGCCGAAACGTCAGCAATTGTGTTCTAATAAATTCTATATTAACAACCTCGTGTCTGCTTATTGATGAAAAACATTGAATTAGCCAGTGTGTTACAACCCCAGTGATGCTGAGGTTTTTGCAAAACTCCGAACTGCAGGTGCCTGTGGTGGGGAACGAACGTGCTGGTACCCCTTCTGCGGGATAACCATTCACCAGCACACCATGCTGCTCATTCGATTAACCAATTTGTTCACAAAATGACGTGTTGAAGTCTAGCTTTAAACTATAACAATCGGTAGCACAACGGATTCGGTGGCTATGCGTTCTAGAAAAGTTTTAAAAAAATTTCCGAGGACACGGGGTTATTCTATAAAAGTTTTTGCTAAGTGAGCTCCATTTCTAGGAAAATTTTTTTTGTTCGGCGACCATTCGTCGTTCATTGAGACGAAGTTATTGCTTCGACATGCTGGCTTCTTTGTCGCTTGAACTTCTCGTTTTTCCCTTTTCTGTATGTCGGCATGGTATTATTTGATATTAGTCATTTGCCACTCTTCGCGCAGTTTCGAGTTGTTGCATAGATCACTGTTCAGGGCCCCATTTCATTTCACAAGTGGTGATCGAACCTTTCCGCACCTGTTAGTGAACTTTTTTTCGAACGAGACATTACTATTTTTTCTTTTAAAAAGATCAGTTACGGTCGTTTTGCCTTACAATTGCGTCTACTGCTTTACTAAAGATTTTTTTTTGTCACCAAAGGGGTTTGAGAGACATTTAGCGCAGTGATGTTGATTCCGTTCAGTACGAGAATGGTGCCGTTTCGCCCTCCACCAGGTTCACCAAGCCTTCCACTACTTTGTGGTTGAGGGGTAGTACCATACTGGTATGCGATCAGCTGGCTTCCTCCAATCCAAAAAAGATATTGCTTGCTTGTGATAAAGGCCTGTGAACATTTGTAGCAGGTTTGTCTTAGGGTTCAACGAAGAATCGATGCGACCAGCTTTTAACAACCTTCTTAGAGGATACTAGAATTCTTAAGCAGCAACCAAGATCAAAGTCAAAGTAATTCGTGGATTACGATTGAAGGGAAGAAACGAATCTGTTGCAGGAAGTGTTACAATCCGCACAGCATGTGACTTTGGGTCGTACAATGTAGTAAAAATGGTGTGGAAGTATTTGAAACTTTCTATCTCTATACATATACATATGCTTATATATTATATATATATATACACATATATATATATATATATATGTTTTGCGTTTAAACACAACTTATAGCTGCTTTTCACTCTCGTTGGTCACGCTGGAGGAGTATGGACTTCACAGTTATCCACAGATGGTAAATATATCATCAGTGGTTCAACGGATCGTACTGTAAAGGTAAATTGTTAACGAATATGAGTAAAAAGAATGTTGTATCCTTGTTATTGTGTTGTTAATTCAAGGTCTGGTCAGCGAAGGATGGCTCTTTGATTCATACACTTCATGGCCACACAAGTACTGTGCGATGCATGAGCCTTTGTCGGAACATGTAGGCGGCGTACTACTATCCTGTTGTTTCCTCGCCATCTTTCATTAGCCGATCAAATATCACTGCTATTTTTTTTTCTCTGTTAAATTTCGAAGAGGTCACTTCATAGCAATTTTTTGCTGAAGTTTCTATTTGCAGATTAGTGTCTGGTTCGCGTGATACAACTTTAAGAGCATGGAACATCGAAACTGGTATGTGTGAGCAGTACCTTACTGGTCACGTTGCTGCAGTTCGATGCGTCCAATTTGACCTTGACGACGGTCGCATCGTCTCGGGTGCATATGATTTCACTGTAAAGGTGACTATTATTAGGGATTTTCGAACGATTTACTTCGGTTTTTTTATTTACTTCGTCTTCGAACAATTACGAATTTACATTATTTTTGATTCATTTGACTTTTTCTTTGTCTTCGAAGCCAATTCCAGGTGTGGGATTTTGAAACTGGTATTTGCATACATACCCTGAATGGTCACACCAATCGAGTGTACTCTTTGTTGGTAAGTAGTTATGTTTCCTTTTTCGAAAATTCGATGTTGTTATTTCATATTTGTGAACTAAAAAATAATTCGTTAGTGCCGTTAATAGCAGAGTTAAAAAAGAGAGTTAATTAGAAGAAAAATTAGAAAAAGAAATGTTAGAAAAGTTAATTTAACTAGGAGATTGAAGAAGAGAATATTCTAAATTCTTTTTGGACCACAAACATTATTTTAGAGTTAAAGAGAAGCCGAATAGGAGACTTATGTTTCAAAAGTGGCATATTGTGAACCTTTGAAAATATTGTCTGTGCGCAAAAAAGATTTTAGAAAGTTGGGAAGGTTTTAATTTTTTTCTTTCGATTCCGCCGTTTTCTTAAATTAAGAATGTAATTATTAAAGCTTCTTCTATTATTAAAGCTTTTTTCCAGCTGGATGCCCGACGTAATATTGTTGTTAGCGGAAGCTTAGACACAACCATACGAGTATGGGATATTTCCAATGGAACATGCATAAGTGTTTTGTCCGGTCACCATTCTTTAACGTCTGGAATGCAATTGAGAGGTGACATACTTGTCTCGTGCAATGCTGACAGTGATGTCAGGGTATGTTGTGGTTTTCATCGTTTTGTTGATGATTAATTCGCGTATCTGTTGTAGTCGTGTGGAAAGTACAATTCATTAAAAAAGTGTACGTAATTGTTATCCTATTCCTTACAAAAAAGGATAATGCTATTGGTGTTGGTCAATCTCTAAGGGTTGGTCAATGCGTTCTACTTCGTTAGGCATCGTTTGGAGGTGATTGAATCAATTCAATTTTTCTTCAATTCAATCAATTGGGATCAATTTGGCGATTCAGCGAGATTCATGAAGAACCAACAGTCCTCAGTTCTACCCATACGAAGCTCCGAAAACCGTCATTGACAATGGGTGTGAGAAAACACCTCCACCGCAAAAAACGCAAAAAAGAAATGATGGGGTCGACACAGTGTCTGAAGTGAAATCATAGAGGATAAAAGGATAATCATAGAGGATAAAAGGAACCATACAATCACAAGACTACGTTCTTCGTCATCTTATGTATAAAGGATAATGCTCTCGGCGTTGATCAATCCCTTAGAGATGCGCTATTCATTCGACTTCATTAAGCATCATTACAGATGATTGAATGCATATCTGGCCTTTACAGTGACTTGCGGTGGTCTACCGATGTATTGAGCCGTACTACTTTTTCCCTAGACAAGCCTGGTACCAATTTTCTGACCCCGGAGAGGTGAAGGGCTTGGTGGGTCATGTGCGCGGGGATGGATTCCCTGTTTGTGTTGCAGGGCTTCTCCAACCACTGCGTCACACACACCCTATCCTATTCCACCTATATGAGGAGAAATCTAGTTAACTACTCCAGATCACATCTATCGTGATGCAGTGTTATACAAGCTTTTAAAATTTGGTACCTATAAGTATCTATCTTAGATATTTGCAAAACTCTAGACGGTAGGTGTCTGCGATGGGGAACGAAAGCGCTATTACCCTTTTCGGGGACTATCGCCTTCACCACCACGTCATGCGTATTCTTAGTTTCGCCTTTTTCTGAGCTAGTTTTCTATCTACCAATGCCGTCAGCAATCACCCGTAAACGGAGTTCAAATGGGGAGACCAAATCGGCATTGAACTCAGTTGAGCTGAAACTGCAGTGGAATATTTTACCGTGAGGATTGTAATAGGCAGTAAATAAGAAGTCAACATTACCTATTTTAGCCTTATTGCGTTGCTAAAATTTTAGGTATGGAATATTAGAGATGGATCGTGCATGTATCGCCTTCATGGGCCGAATGGACACACATCAGCTATCACATCACTTCAGTTTCTCGACAATGGTATTGTGGTGACAAGTGGAGATGATGGAGCTGTAAAGTTGTGGGACGTCATAAAAGGTAGGTTTTTGGTGTTCTGGAATCCTTTGGAGGAGCTGTGTTGTGTTAATAGGTGACAAAATTGGAAGTGAAATTGCCATTGTTGTTGAAGAGGTCGATGAATAACACGGTTACAGATAATGCAAGTCGCAGGTGATACGTAACACTTGATTCCTGATCACCTGTAGTCCCGTTGATCGTCGGGTGACTCGAGCGGGCGCCAGTAGATCTTCCATTTTTCCCTGTGCCGCCCGGGAGTAACCCAGTGGGTTCTGCTCTCTCTGAGGGCTCGTCGAGCATAACATCTTTCTACTAGGCCTTTCGTGAAGAAATGCCTATCGAGTCGGTGATTTTCCTGCAGTGCGTTTGACATCTCAAGGAATCCTGTCGCTAACGGCTGTTGTCAATCGATTGTCATTCATACGCATTTCGTGTGAGGCCCACCTTATCGTCCTATCGATTGCGCGTTCGATAACGACGAGTGATCTTTCATCATGCTTACGCAGAGACTAGGTTTCTGAATCATACGTTAGGGCAGGAAGTACCGTTGAGTCGAAAATGTGGGCACGGAGTCGGATGTTCTTTGTTCTCTTCACTACATCCTCGATGCCCTTTAAAGTTCCTTAAGCCGCTCGTTTCCTTCTGGTCAACTCTGGAGCGAAGTCGTTCAACATGTTGATTTCCCGACCCAGATGGACATAACCGGAGTATTCGGGGATGTTGGTTCCGTTGAGCGGGAATGGAGCATACGAAACCAATCCGTTCTTCATGAACATCGTTTTTGTGAGATATAGTCGAAGACCAATCTTTCCACAGGCTTTATCAAAGTCGTCAAGCGTACGTTCCGCTTGGCTAATGTTTGGTGTTATAAGGACGATGTCATCAGCAAAGCGAAGATGGTG